GAGGGATTTGAACTGAAAAAAGAATGATATTTTTATTTTATATATGGACTGCAGTTGCATCAATTTTACTTTTTCATTTAGTTTTTAGCTTTTTAGGTAGGAAATTTACCATTAAAATGAGCATTTATGTGCAAAAATTTAAAAACATCGATCGGAAAACTTTAGTCATTTTTCAGCTTTCGCGAAGCCCACTCGAAAAACACGCGTGTTTTATACCTACAAGAGAGCCCTGTATAGGCCGCCATCTTGCAGTACCAGTAGCCTTAACTCAGCGGTAAGGGGAAACACCCCAACCGTATCTGTCGCCCATGGCCCCTTTAAGGCCATGTTACACGAGGTAATTTTTGTTGCAATTTACAACGCAATTCCTGGCATAGAACCATGTTATCTAAAAAGGAGTCGCAGGGAAATTGTGCACATGGCCCACGGTTTACTCTGCCGACATTTGTAAACCTATTTCTTTCATTTTTCATCCACTAGCTTGCAGAGTAGAATGCGGGTCATGTTGACAATTTCTTTGTGACAACTTTTGGGATACCATGGCCTCTCTCGGTAATTGCATTGCAAGTTGCGGTAACATGGCTATATATGCAAAAGTGCGTCATAAGTTGTAGCAAAAGTTGCCTCGTGTAACATTTCCTTTACAGATATTATTATAATTTTTAATTACACTTTTAGATGGTAATTCTTTGCTGATTTGGAACTTTAAATGTGGAACGATGCTCCATAGAGTTGATATTACACATGATATCAGAGCGTTGACATTGGTGCCAGGAGGAGAATTTCTATTGTCAAGCTCGTATCGTCATAAGACGCTGACGTTGTGGGATCTACGCAATGGACGGTTTGTTGAAGAGTTTCATTTCGACCGGAGTGTTCGAGCTATAGCATGCTCTTCAAATGGCATGGTTTGTGTCGGCCTACATAATGGTCAAGTCTGCTTTCTGCGATTCAGTAATTTATCCTTTCATTCGCGAGAACTTGAACAATAAGGTTCAAGACTTGGGACAGGGGGAGAGGGTCAAAACAAACTGCATGGTGTGTAAAAAAGACATGTTATATGTTGAGTTTATCGATAATTTTTTCACGGATACAAGATTCAGGCATTTAACTTTCAAATGTACCTTTTTACATCATTATAAAGAAAAATTACCGAATACGAATCAAAAATTGCCGGTCGAAATCGCATTTTCCCACCGTTGAGGATTGGGTGCAAAACTATTGAAAATAAATCCAGTTTGGATCGAAGATTTATGAATTTTAGTTTAAAAAGCCCTAAATATGGTGCGATAAAATTAAATAATTTTTGATAAATTGGTCAGTTCTGTTTTAAGCCTATCGTTTGGCCAGACTTATTAGTGATTAATCGCTTTTTCTTTTGTTATGTATGAAGGTGGAAAATGTGATTTTTCCTGACAATGTTTAATTGGCTTGTATTTGTCATTTGTGATCGGAATGAAACAAGAAAGGTCTGGTCCATAAGATATAATCCTAATTTTATTAATATCTTTTATAGATCCTTGCACTTAATATTGAGCGCGCAAGAGCACGCTAAAGTTGCATTGCCTTTTTCATGATAACCCTGTACATAGATTGTGAAAACGAGGATCTATGCCGCAAGAATCTTGCGGGGGGTCTGGGGGGCATGCTCTCCCCTGAGAAGTTTTCAGGGTCGAGTTGGAAACGAAATATTGAATACTGAGTTCAAAACTAGGTTGAATATAAAAATTAGTTGTAAGAATTTCAAGTAGGAATATGAATATTTACGGTAGGAATATGAATATTCATAGTAAGAATATGAATATTTGAAACAGAATTGGAATATTTCCACACACACCACAGGTATTTCAGAAATATTGAATGTAGGAATACTGAATGTTTGAATGTTTAAGTAAAAATATTCCGCTTCCACCACCGATTCAAGGTCTCTGGAACATAGGCGGCGGAACGGGAGTGGTTAGGGGGTGGGGGCGGAAAGTGGAGAAGGGCTAAGCCCCCCCCCCCCTTTCCCAAAAAGAAAAATGGATAAAATTCGAAATTTTGAAGTTTATATATAAAAGTTGGTCTAATGTAGAGGAAAATTTTGGGAAAGATGAAAGAAAACCGGTGATGTATTAATTAAAGATGTACAGTTGGGAATATGTTAGGTCCGGAAGATGTTTTTCCTTCGTCCCTATTGTTCCGCCGCCACTGCTCTGGAACAACATTTCTTAATGCGTTCTAAGACGAATTTTCAAGAAAAATCATAATCAGGGAAAATGCCATTTTTATCGTTATTTCAGACATTGTACCCCCTAGAATTTTGCACAGGGGGTTAACCCCTAGCCCACTTTTTTCAATACTGTGGCTCTTTTCCATCTACAGGTAGTTCTGTTAACTCTTGAGTTTAATTATGTTTCCTTTCCTGGCTATTATAGCTCGCTGTGCTCCTCGGCAAATCATTCAACCTCGTTCCCAGGACTTTCGTGTGCAAATCGTTCAAACTAACAAAAAATCGAACTTGAAACAAATGTTTTGCAACATATTTGCTCTATAAGTTTTCCAATTTTGCGCCAGAAATTACAGGAAATGGCATTTCTAAGACTCGATTTTAAAATTTCCCAGGGAGCATGCCCCCTAACCACCCGTCTTTAATGGTCCTCTCCACAAATTTCAGCCCCCCCTGAATTAAAATATCTTCCTAACCAGGTGATCTCAGAACTCGAAAAAGGCCTGGCACTAGTTGTAAAATAGAAATCCATTTCTGGTTAAAATTACTCAATATCCCATCAACGGTATTAGATTACTATTTCAAATTTGTCCCACACATTCATTTCCCTGTGCAAGACACAGACACAAAGTTTCAAACAGTTTCACAAAAGAATCATGCAGGACGTGACAAGTAATTAAATGTACGAAACTGGATTTCTATTCTGTTGCTAGTCCCAGTCCTTTTGGTCACCGTCAGATCACCTGGAATTCTACTGGATAGCAATCGAGACAGAAAAAATGATATACTACTCACGAAATGAGATGTGACTACAAAAGCTAGTTTTGGATAAGATGAGATGGAGTATAAGCTTTAGCAGTAGACTGTAAATACAGTGTGTCTCGCCGAAAGAAACTGCGATAGCTATGTTGCAGATTTTTACATTAGTGGGCATCGAAAATTCAATCTCAGAGATGAATTTTGAGACTGATATTATTAAAATTGGTGTAGTACAAGCAATATTATGGCTGTAGTAAGGGGATCGTCAAACCTAGTAATACTTACCAGAACTGATGCATGATTTCAATGTTCCATTGGGTGAACCGGCCATAGACAGGTTTAAAACAGCCATAAGATTGGTTCTACTGGACCAATTTTAATAATCTTGGTGTCAAAATTCATCTCTTGGATTAGATTTTTCGTTGTCCGCTAATAATTAGCTGTGTATATATCTGACACATTGCTATTGCAATTTTCTCGGGACACCCTTTTAGTGAGATGTAAACTTACCATTTCGCTCCGTAGTTCACGAGCTAACATGGTTGACCAAAGTCGTTGATAATCTCAATGATAAAATCTGCAACTATGGGGGTCCAGCTTTGAAACGATATTATTTTCAAAGTTTGTGTACTCTTGTTTTACCGAAAGACATGAACGCCTTCGAACCAGAACGTCGACGATTAACTAATTTAAGGTTACTTCACACGATGAACGTGCGTTTTTGTCTACTGGACATTGTGCAACGAATTTTATTTTAACTTTACCACATTTTCAGTGAAGAAAGCCAGGAAATCATGATTTCGAAAATTTTCATTTGATTAGGTACCTTCATAAAAACATCAAAATATGTTGATAGTTTACCTCAACGTTCGTTCAAATTCGAATCTTCATAGGCACAGTAAAAAAACGTGTGCGGAAAATTTTTTCTTCTTTTATAGTGGTTTTTCTGATATTCACTGATTCCTGGATTTGTCACTGATATCAAATTCACGAAGTTGTCAAAGAAAACGACATATCAGAAAAACCATTGAAGAAGAGAAATTTTCCGCACACGCTTTTTAACCGTACCTATGAAGATTCAAATCGAGATATGTAGACAAACGTTGAGGTAAACTATAAACAGATTTTGATTTTTTTATGGGATATGTTTATATTTCTTTAGTCAGCCAATACTGGACAGGTTTAACATAACACTCATCAAATGAAGATTTTCGAAATCAGCATTTGCTTGGCTTTCTTCACTAAAAATTTAGTAAAGTTACCTAAAATTCGTTGCGCCATGTTCAATTGACTAAAACGCGCGTTCATCATGTGAAGTAAGCTTAATTAAGTCTATTTTGACATTATTCCATTTAGTTTGATATACTTTTCTCACTTATTTTCTTGTAAATAGCACATAGTTTTTAATATAGCACATATGTAAAGATTTAGCAACTGCCTGTACGTAAGGTCATGCCAATAAAGCAAATAAATTCAATATACAAATACAGATCTGTTTTGGACTATGCTACAGAGCCCGAAATAACGCGTGTTTAATTAATAAAGAATGTCTGTCCAAAATGAAAGTTGATGTCTTGATCCGAAACTTTCAAATCTCGTCGCAATTTTATCGATTTCATTTTGACTCCCGGCGTCCCTAAATGCCCCTTGGGTAAGTCGCGTCGATAAATAAATAAATAAACTTTAAATTTTATTTTACAATTATATTCATTGCCGGGATCATGTTTGTGGTTAACCCATTCTTTCAAGGAAGGTGATTACTATTTTCGTCCGGATAAAATGTCCGACCAATTCAGCATTTGATCAGAAAAACTGCAATTGGCAATGTTCGGAAAATGTCCAAAGTCCGACCGTTATTTTAGGCATTGTGCTGTGCCAGTCTTTCACGGTTGCAATCATTTGGAAAATATACAGAAAATATTAAGATTGTTGCTTCTGATTTCAATCGAACTCTCCTAATCAAGCTAACCAATTATCAGGAATCCATTGTGGTTCCTTTGCCACGAGATATACGGCTGTATACAGGCGATCATACGCATTTTGAAGGT